ACATTATTTACATACATACATATATAGAACACTTTTCTAAGAATGTATTTTAATTAATTTTACTTCTTCTCATTAAAAACATTATTATATTATGTAATATAGATATAAATATTTTATTTTAATTAATTATCATTATGCAGATTCATCTACCTAACTAAACAAAAAACTGTTTTAAATAATCACATGATTCACCCTATACTCGAGCAAACATATGTATGGTAATATACAAGTAAGCCAATAAGCAAATATGTATGCAATATTATTCTCTTCACTCACCTGCGCTCTTATTCAACGGAGACAAAACACAACAACGAGTCGACGGCGACACTCGTTACTGTTTTGTTAACAGCTATTTTCTTTGCTACGATGCGCGACCAATTCTGAATTGCGCGACGCATTTTACCGGATTTATATTCACAAATATAGAAAACACTTGACTTCACACTTGTTACTGCACTTTATATTTATTAAACACTCATTCCTTACACACTATAAACACTTATGCACTTACACTGCCATAAATAAAAAGAAACTAACACGAACTAGCGAACCACGCAACTTAACCGGACGAGTGCAGGAACGAAACTGACTAAATTAATCACTCAATCGCAGGTGGCGGAGAGTCCGTTGGAATATTGGAACTTCATTTACATTTTTGAAGATTTCCATAAATAAATTGGTAAGGAATAAAGATGGATTAAATGTAAGCAGCAACAAACGTTTATGAGATTTTCTGAAATTTGGTGTATGCTTTTAAAAATACTGATCGGCTGTAACTCAAAACTTATTTGACATATCGATTAAAAATTTTAGTATTTTATTTTTAAGTTATTACATATTGATATATGCGAAAAACAAAATATTTCTTTTTTTCTCAATTTCATTATTTCATAAATTTTTCAAGTCTGTCCGGGAAACGGACGAGGAGAAGGAAATTCGTTTAATATTTTGGAAGAGTTTCCTGTATACATACCAGAGATAAATACATGCATATATTTATTCCTGATAAATTCCTTCGCTCATCTTGTACAATTTGGACACTTTTATACGTTCTTTGATTTACGTTCTCTCTCTCTCTATCATAGACGTTCTCTGCCATACATTTACGGTTTACGTAGAGCATATTGTAAAACGTTGTACACTTTGGAGAGAGTATCTGTGGAGTTTTGTAGCACTTTCCAGATTTAAGACACATTTTTAAATCCACATCCGACAACGGTCATCACATCGGAATCTTTGAAATTATACCAAACAATATATGAGAACGGAGGGATTTGTTACCGCCGTGTAAAAGGAGAGTAAACAATGTAGTCTTACGAAATGGCGATCTATCGTAATAAAAATGGTAAAATTATTCAACTTTAATTCTAAAAACTTTTACAACAATACAGCAGCGAGTACGATGTTGACATTTGCAGTGAACGAGCGAAGAGAGAAAATGAGTTTGTTTGAGTAACCGAAGTACTGTGAGAAATCGGGTGAGTCATAAAATAATTTTATTTTGTTCACCCTAATTATTAAATATCATTGAGTGCACACACTTAACAAAAACAGTTAAAGTTCTTTTTGGGCCATTCTAATACATATTTATGTATGTATATGCATTCGAAAGGCCGTACATAAATTTTGAAATATTTTTATGCAAAATTAACATGAATTAAGGTACTTATCTGACTCACCCTGTCATATGAACAAAAAAGCAAAATTACAATAACGCTATACTCGCGCACATACACCATATATTCCAAAAGAAGAGAGAGAGATGATCATTCATTTCTCGTTAGCTTTTTGTTTGACATTTCCACCTGTGGAATGTTGCAGGACATGTGCATTTTGTAAAGTTTTGTCAGCGATGAAGTAGCGAGTGTTCATCACTCAGTTAGCTGCTGTTTGAAGTGATTGAGTGAAGAGAGAGTAGAGAGAGTAGAGAGAGTAGAAGTAGAAGTAAGCGTTACGAACTATTAGTTCAATAGTCAAAGCTCGGGAGAATAAATTTATGTTTTTGCTTTGAGCAATTTCTATTATTTAGTATGTACATATGTATGAACCTAATAACGAAAATACATACATATTTATATACATTCAGTTTTAATACTATTTCGTTAAGGATCTCTGTATTTGTTTTATGCATAGGACAAGTTAAAATTCAAGAATTATAATTTGTAAATGTTCAAACCGACACTCGACAGAAAGAACATTTATCAAACGCGTAAAGATATTCATAAATGAGAAAAATATTTTTAACAACGTGGATTGCGAAATTCTCTATTAGAAAATTTTGGATAGTTTTTAATCCAAAATGTTAAGACCAAAAAATTAAATTTTCAAATTTTAATTTGGATATTTCCATTATAATTAAATTGTCATTTCCATTTGGATATTTCAAATTAAAAATTAAATTTGTAAAATATTAATTATAACATAGTTTGAATGTGTAAATTCAAAGAGCTTTTTTAATTTGTAATTATGAGATTGGGGTTAAAATTTTTTTCAATCCTGTTTTGGAGAATTCCACTATAATTCATCATAAAAGAATATCAACAAAAGTTAATTATTCACTGCCATGAGAATATACATACATATGCATATACATAACCTCTCTCTTCTGCACAGACATACATATGTATGTACATACATTACAGTTGCAATTGAGAAAATGACTCGTTATGATCCGTTTAGCATTTAGTTTCATATTTCCACTTGTCTTGTGCAACCATGGCCTTCCTGTCTGGACAGTATCGTCTTCATCCCTTCCTGTAAACTCACTTTCCAATTTGAAAATATACATATCTTTTCTCTTATAAATTCGACACTTCAGTTAGATAAGATATATGTACGTTCTTTGCCTTCTCAATAATATACGATCTCTGTTATATAAAAGTATTTCAAAAAGTGGAGAACGTTAAATTTTGGCGGGTATGGAATTTCATTTTCCAAATAATGCAATAATTGCAGCATACTTTTGTACGGTACTTTATTTCCATCGAACAGTTCCTGTAGAGCGTGTTCTAATAATTTAAGATGAACACTTATACAACATCCGTCAATGGTTACTTCCTCAGTCCAATTAAATCATTCGATCGGTTCAGTTCGGTTGTGTCCGCGTTCAATTGCATTATGATCGGTGGGAATTAGTGTTAAAATTAAATTAATGTTATGAGATATAATTGAAAGGACTTGTTTGGTGTCTTTGCGAATCAATTTATTATTCATAGGAACTGTAAGGAATCGCAATATTACTTGTATATATGTAGATAATATACTTGTCTATACTAATTTGCAGGTATTTTGCACAAACTCGCCGCCATTCCATTTAAGCGAACATAAAGCACACGAATTTTAAACTCGTTAAGCACTGAGAGCGAGAAAGTAATAGAGATAATGACAATGAGCAATGCACAAAATGGCCGCCATACCATCTAATTGCACAAAATGCCGAAATTTAAACTCAAAAAGCACTGAGAGAGTGAGAGAGATAGTGACAATGAGCAATATTTCAAAAATAATTAAAACAGGGTGAGTCTAATGACGTTTTTCATATTATGAGTAGTTAAGGTGAAACTATTGTGTATGTATATCGCTCATTTGTCAGAACTCAAAAAAAAACCAACAAGTATTGAGTGTAACTATATGAGTCTTAAAAACCTCTATTATAGTATGTATGAAATTTGTACAAACAACTTAGCTCATTAGTTAGTCATACACATAAGTACATACATATATATGTACATACGTTATGTAAACTGAACCAGCGAGTGTTTTCATTACTCAGTTACACAGTAAAGTCAAAAACCAAAGTTCATTACTCGTTGACTCACTCATATATAACGCTCTCTTTACTCAATTCTGAGTAGATGAGATATAGAGTGACATTCGCTACTTTTAAATCATCAACGAATTGCGCAACTCCTATTGCTGCAGATGTTTTTGTTGCAATGCGCGGCCAGTTTTAAGAACAGCGCAACTCTATACATATATACATACATATATCTGCTTAAATAAAGTTATAAGAGCTCATTGCTCATTTCACTTCAGAGAATTTAAAATTTGTGTTCTCTATTCATATGTGTGTAATGTGTACTTATTCCACTAGTTCATAGCTTTCAATAACGATATACATATACATATATGTAAGTATGTGAATTGCTATTGCAATTCAAATGCTTGTTGCTTGCAAAAAATTTCCGTTATATACATAAAAGTTTATGCTACGATTATCTTAAAGTCTATATTTAGCCCAAAAGAAATTATATTCCTCCTATGTATATGAGTAATGTTTATATGAACTTTAAAGGTTTTATGTTTTGCTCACTGGAAAATAGTTCCAGAAAAAATTTTAAGAGAACTTCCAGGAAGTTCAAATAAATCTGTTTCTTCATTTCCGTCGACAGTCCTTCAATTTCCTCAGTCTCACTCATCCGTAGCTTTGCGAAAAGTTACGTTCTTTACATTGCGAATCTTTTGTATTATATACGATCTCTGGCTGCTGTAAAAAATGGAAAACGTAAGCACAAGAGCGTGAACCAACTTGAAAATTCTTGCATACTTTTATACACTGCCTCATTTAGCTGGAATATTCTTTTAGTTTTGGAACGTATTCCAATGACTTAAGATGAACTCTTATTCTTATATCCGTGAGTGGGCATGCCATTTCCTCAGTCTAGTTAAATCATTCGTTCGGCTCGGTTCGGTTGTTTCCTCGTTGATTTCGCATAATATGCGATCGTTGCTAATTAGTGTTAAAATAAATTTTATATGAATAAGTGGTATAGTTTAGCAAAATTTATTGGTGTTCTGGCGTAAAAATGTACTACCTGTAAGTAGTAAGATATTAAAGTAATATTCAAAATCAGACTACATGAATGCGTAAATTTGCAGAAATGCTTCATAAAATGGCTGTCACTCGTTGGTTCAACATAGAGCGCTGAGCATTGAGAGGGAACGATTTTATGACAACGAATGTAATTTCAAAAGTAAT